CAGAGGGGCAGGAACAGTTTTAAATATCCAGAAGAGTTTCAGGGGAGTGAAAACAGTTGGAAGTATCCAAGAAGAGTTTCAGGGGAGCAGGAACAGTTGGAAATATCCAAGAACAGTTTTAGGGGAATGGGAAGAGTTGGAAATATCCAAGAAGAGTTTCATAGGGGCAGGAATAATCTCGGAGAGACTGTTTTGTGTAGTCAGTGCACAGTTTGTGCTCAGTTTGTGCGTGTAGGAAGCACAACAGTCTATTTAGGTCTGGTAAGAGTCTTTCAGGATGTAATAATTCATAAGAGTGGAGCAGTGTGTGATGGATGTTCTCAACTCTCTTTTCTGAGCCTGCTCAGCCCCTGGCAGTGGTGTGGTGTTTTTTTGGGAGGCTTTTATTTCTTAAATAGAAACAAACCACTGCAAGGAATCCTCTGGCTCGTGTGGTGTCATTCTGTGCCATCACACACGGGTTTGGTGTCTCTTTGTGCTGCCTGAATGTCCACAAAAACCAGAGTTCCCTTTTGAAATGATTGTGCAGCTCAAGAAAGAACCCTGTAGTTTTTTTAAAAAAACCCTGTAGCTACATATTAGGGCTTAGGTTCTTAAAGATATCAGGGTATCAGCCCCGTTTCTGTGCTGGTGCTTAAAGATCTTTCCAGGGAACAAATTCAAAATGTGAAGATGGGAAGTGGAGACTCGAAGAAGGTAGTGAGAAACATTTTTAAATTGCATTTTCGACTTGTGTTCTGCATTTCCCCCCCCCCCCTTTTTTTTTTCTTCTTTCCAGTAAAAAAAAAAATTTTAAAAAAATTAAAAAAAGGCAGAACATGCAGAACATGAACAAAATCATCTGATGGGAAATGGAGACTCTAACAGGACAGTTAAGAACACTTACAAATCGTATTTTTCAGCTCATGTTCTGCATTTTTTCCCCTTGTTTTCTTCCTTGTTTTCTCCCCCCTTTGAAGCAGTGGGCACAGAAGCTCGTGCTGGCTCCAGCTGAGTGCTTGTTTTTTTGGCCCCGAGCCACTGCTAAAGATGGACCCAAGCAGGCTCCTCTGGCAGGGCTTTCATGTCCTTTCCATTTCCCTGGGCCTTGGCAGCTCCTTCCTTTTAACTCCACGATTCCATTTGTTTCCCCCCCCTTCCCCCGGGGCTGATGTGGGATAATGGACATTGGGGAGGTGGAGGGAACCTGCTGTGGGGTCGGGGCTGGGGCTGCCCCAGGGAATCATCCTGGCACTGCCTCCAGCAGGGGAGTTGCAGATTCTTTGACCAACCCAGTTTCAAGTGTCTGGGGTGACTGGGATTCCCTTCCAAGGAAGGGGTGATTTGTTCTTTGCTTGGAGGTGGAATAAGGGAGGGATAATTTGTTCCTCCCTGAGAGGCACAGCTTCGATCCTTATGCTGCCTCTGTGGCTTTAAACCCACCTGTGTGGTGGCCAAAAGCCCTTTTAGGGTCAGAAACTCTTGTTTTAGGACTCAAAAAGAGCATTCTTGGATGCTTAGAGGGGGAATATCACCGAAGAAGGTGGAAGGTCTTCAAGCAGCAGAGATGGGAGCTGGTTTTAAAGCTGCAGCTTTGCAGAGAGAGACCCTGAGAGCCCCAGGGGTGATGTAGGAAGCCAGAGGGGCTGGATAAGGCTGGATAAACCCAGCAGTTCTGTTGGGATGTCAACTGGAGATTTGTGTTCACACAGAACCTGTTCCCAGCAGGAGTTGTAGGAAACCTGAAGTTGGACTCGATGCTCCTCGTGGGTCCTTTCCAGCTCAGGTTATTCCATGATTCTGGGAATTCCCTGCTCCTGGAAGCTGCTGGAGGTGATGTGCAGGTGGAGGGCATGCAGGGAAAATGGGAATTACAGTTGGTGTCCGTCTGAATTCCCACTGGGATGATTCCCCTCCTGATGCTGAGATTTTTATTCTTAGTCCTGATTGTGCTTTAGGTGCTTCCTGTCATCCATGTCACCAGTTTAATGCTTGGATCACTGGAAATGACACTTGAAAAGTTAAAAAGTAAAAAAATCACATTTGTGTTCACTAGGCCAGAATTAAGCTCAGTTCCTGATTCACTCCATTCCCATTTAGGCCAGATTTTCATGGGAGTTTTTCATCCTGGACCATGGGCTGATCTGAAAACTTGAACGAATGTATCACACTGGGCCTCTTGGAAAAAGCTGAATGGAGCTGGAAACTGGAAATGGGAGTAAAATATGTATTGCACATGTAATTTTTGATTTTTGTCACCTGTCTCTGAGCAGCAACAGCTCTCACAGACACGGAATCATGGAATGGTTTGGGTTGGAAGGGACCTTAGAGCTCGTCCAGTTGCACCATGAACAGGCCACCTTCTGCTGGAGGAGGTTTCTCCAAGCCCTGCAAACTTTTATACACACCTGGGAAATGAAACAGTCGATTTAAAGATGATCTAATGAAGTCTTTTTTTTTTTTTTGCTTTTTTCCCTCAGCTTGTTATGGAATTGTCCAGGTCCCCACCGGCCCCTGGTTCTGTCGGAAATGTGAATCCCAAGAAAGAGCCGCCCGGGTGGTGAGTTCAGTGGAGCCTGGAGACCCCAATCTTCCAAAAAAACTCATGGCATTCTTCTCAAAGGGGCTTTTTTTTTTTCCTGCTCAGCTCCTCGGGAAGTTTTGGGGAGGAGGGAAGTTGGCATCACCTGAGATCGTGTGCTGGGTTGGCTTTCACATCTCACTCACAGAACCGCGGGGTGGGTTGGGTTGGAGGGCACCTTAAAGCCCCTCCAGTGCTCTTTGGGATCATCATCAGGTGATGATCATCCCCTGCAGCACAGAAAGTCTCCTGAGCTGTAAAACAGCAGAGAGAAAGACGACAGGAAGAGAGAGGGGCTGTTTCTGTCTCGGTAGCAGTTTAAGAGCAAAGAGCCCTTTCCAAATGTTCCTCATTAATTCCGGCATTTCCCGGTGAGGCAGGAGGGTGGGAGCAATCAGGCCAGGCCTGGGCTGTGTGGCCAAGTTATTTGTGCAGTAAACAAGGCTGGGGGGGGTTTATGGCACAGCAGCTTCTCTGCCAGAGCTCCCCACGTGAGCCCTTATCAGATTCAGCGGCACCAACCAGCTGCCGAGGATCTGGAATGGGGGAGTTGTGCCAGGGATGCTGCTTTTCCTGCCCTAAACCATGGCAGGGTTTGGCTTGGAGGGCACCTTCGAGCTCACCCAGAGGCAGGGATGCCACTCAGGGATGCCACTCACGACCCCACGTTGCTCCAAGCCCCGTCCAAGCCGGCCTTGAAAACTTCCAGGGATGTGGCAGCCACAGCCACCAAAATGTGGGATAAATCTGGGAGAGCTTCTCCCCTTCGCTTCCTGGAAGGGGGGTTTAAATTAAACTTTGGCTTCCCTTCAGCACAGTCAGCACAACCAGGGTTTGTTGGTGGCAGTGCTGAGCTGGTTGAGCTGAGTTTGGGGTGCACACCTGGGAAGGGGACGGAGGTGACCTTGGGATCCCTCTCCGGATCCCTGGATCCGCCTGAGCCGGAGCTCCCAGCCCGCTCCAGCCCAGCTGGGCTCTGCCTGCTGCACTCCAAAAGTTTAATCTGGTTCACAGATGGGCGAAGAACTTGGCAGGGATGAGTGGATGGGGGAATTAGGGATCCACAGCCACGCTTCCCACACGGCATTAACCCTTTCCTGGCTGCAGGCAGGGCCTTTGCCCACTGTGAGGTGCAGCTTTTATGTGCTCTGCAGTAAAGATTAAATGTGTCTGTGAGTGCTTTTACATCCTGCAGGTACTTCCATGGCAGGAATTTGGGTCCCGTGGGCCTCCTTGCCCCGTGCACAGGGAAGTTCTTCAACTTTACAACTCGGTGTAAAGTCCTTGGACACACGAGCCCTCCTCACCTGTGCTCCTTGTGACTTCTTTTTTCTCTCCCCATGGCTTTATGCACCTCAAACTGCCTCCAAGGTGTCAGGAAAACAACATCCCTGCGGGTGGCTCCTGATTTTAACCCCCCCTGGGTGGGTTAAATCTGTTGGGTGTCAGAGCTGCCGTTCAGCCCTGTGGTGTTCAGCCCTGTGCCTCTAATAACTGAGCAGGGATAATCTTCCTCCCCGGGCAGGGCTGGGGGGGTGGTTTCCTATCTAAATCCCTCACCTTTTCAGCTCAGCAGCAGCAGTCATAGCAACAGACACGCAGATGGGGAAACACTTAAAAAGAAACGGGCTCTTTGATGTAGGAGCAGCGAGAGCTGAGTGAGGGGAGTGACTCGGGTTGTGTGAGGTCTGTGAGTGGCTCTGCTGCTGGAAACAGGAGCTCTGGGTCTGGGAAAGTTGGGGCTGTCCAGCCCTGGGAAGAGGAGGTTGTGTGGAGACCTCACAGCACCTTCCAAAGGATCCAAAGGGAATCTGAACAGTGTCTGAGGAAGCACTTGGAGAAGGAAACCAGAGAGAGACTTTGGTCTGGAACTGGAGTGACAGGACAAGGGGGAGTGGGATCAAACTGAAAGAGGGGAAATTTAGGTGAGATATATGGAAGAAATTCCTCCCTGTGAGGGTGGGGGGGCCCTGGCACAGGTTGCCCAGAGAAGCTGTGGCTGCCCCTGGATCCCTGGAAGTGTCCAAGGCCAGTTTGGATGGGGCTTGGAGCAACCTGGGATCATGGAAGGTGTCCCTGTCCATGGCAGGGGGTCACTGGGTGGGCTTTAATGTCTCTCTCTGTGACTCTAAAACACATCTGGTTTGTGCTCTGTGCAGGGGGTGACCCTTCCCCTGCCCTGGGGCTTCCCTACCTGGTTTCCTCCAGCTCTCCAAAGGCACTCTGGGCCTGCAGACACTGCCCTGAGGACTCTGAGGCAGAGACGCTGATCTTTGAGCACAAACCACACAAAACCAGCAGCAGGATGAGCTGATGTTTGTATTTCTTTCATAATGACTGTGTGGCCAACTCCTGCGAAAAACAACAGTGTTTTTCTTCGCACATCTGCCTTCATAGAAGGTTCTTAAGGCAGCTCACGGGCTCTGGCCATAACAAATGCTAATTTCCTGGGCTATATATTGATAGTTTTGCTTTCAGAATGAGATTCGGAGGCAGGGAGGGCGTCGCAGTGCTTAGTGTGTGCTTTAAAACATAGTTTTGATTTCTGCACCGTTCATTTCTGTGTCTCATTCATATTCTGTTCAAAAGATGGGCTCCATCCCCTTTTTAGCCGCGGGAAGAGACCTCAGGAGCCCTGAACTTCCAGGTAGGGCTTTCACTTGGTAGATCCCAGACAAGCCCCGGGGGGATCAGGAGCTTTAAAACCTTCCCCGTCTCAACCTGCTTTAAATCAACCAACCCCCCCCCCCCCCCAGAGAGCTGAAATAAAACCCCCGTGCCCGTGCAGGTGGGATAAGAGGCAGAGGTGCCCTAATCCCTGCTCCTGCCCCCTCCCCGGGTCCCTGAAGGATCCTGCGGGTGCTGGGAAGGGCTGGAAAGCCCATCCACTTTGTAATCCAATCGTCTGGGAAGCCCCGGGAGAAGGGATGGCCGGAGGGCTCTCGTGTGAGGATCATGTGAAGGCTTTAGCTGTCATTTCGAGGCAGGGCTATTAAAAGTCCTGTGTGGGGCCGATGGAGCTGTTAACCCCTCTTGTTACAATCAGAGCTGCGCTAATCGCGTGGTGGGAGAGCGGCTTTGATCTGAGGGCGGAGGGGCCTTTTCAAGTGCAAATTTCTTATTACAGTGTCTCGGTTAACTCCCTTCTTGTTCTCTCTCGGCTCTGCCGGGCTTTCCATAGTAATTGTGGGAGCCCGGACCTAACCAGGAGCAGCGAGAAACATCTTCTGTGGCCATGTCTCTCCATCCTAAACTCGCTGAGTTGCTGGAAAGGGAGATGGATTTTGTCCCCTCGTCACTTATTTAACACTTGCACATCCCTGGAAGTGTCCAAGGCCAGGTTGGATGGGGATTGGAGCAACCTGGGCTAGTGGAAGGTGTCCCTACCCATGGCAGGGGGTGAGACTGATGGGCTTTAAGGTCCCTTCCAACCCAAACCACCCCGTGATTCTATGACCAGTTGTTGCTCAGTAAACTGGTGGGTTTTGGCACATGGGTCCCCTGCCCTGTCACACTCACTGGACCAAAGCAACGACAGCAGAGAGCACCAGGTCCAACCTCTCACTCTTAACACCAGACACCTCATCTCAAAACTTTCTGAGGAAGCACATTTTTTTCACAGAAAAGCAGTTTTTGTTTTGGTTTGGTGTTTCAGCAAGTCAGACGTTTCTGTCGGGGAAGGGAGAGGTTTAAACCCCGCAGGTTTTTGGGTCTTTCTTAAAGTCAAAGAAGGCAGAAAGCACGTGGAGATTTTCCCTGAGTGATGCTGTGAGAAGACAGTGTCTGTTTGGAGGCAGCTCAGCCTGGGAGGAGCTCTCAGGGCTGGCAGTGCGTTCACCCAAGTGTGAAAAAACACCCCAAAATTACCCTCACACCCTCCCCTCCACACCTCAGCCTTTTGGGGTTTGGGGGGGGGATGTCACAGGCTACCCTCCCCCCAGTCCTTCAAAAATGCCACTATGGCCTCACCCACCTGTCATGGGACTGGAAAAAAACCACCACGAGAGAAAAGGAGAGGAGGAAGGAAGGAAAGAGGCAAAGATAGATGGTGGCTTCTTTTTATTTGCCTTCTGCTCTCTGAGTCACGACTTTCAGTTTTGCTCCCCGACCGCAGAGCCTCAAACTCGTTCTAAAAAAGCCCCCGTGGAGTCAAGGTTCACTTTGGGCCCGGGCTGAGGCTTTAAATACCTCGGTCAGGGCAATACTGAGCTGTGTCAGGGCACCTCTTTGCACCCAAACCAGGCTCAGCCCTTCTCTCCACTTCCCCTCTTTGAAAGCGGCCTCGTTGTTCCTGAGTGGGCTGCGAACGAATCATCTCTTTTCTGCCCCCCTCTGCCCCTCAGAGTTTGGGTTAATCTGTTGTTTCTGCTTCGTTTCAAGAGGTGTGAGCTGTGTCCCCACAAAGATGGAGCCCTGAAACGCACGGACAACGGGGGTGAGTAGCTGGGATGGCCCCGGGTGGAAAACCAGGCACAGGGGAGGGAAGGCTGGAGGCTCCAGAGAGGTGAAACTCTGCCTTTTCCTTATAAACTTCACTTTCTGAAGCTTCTCCCTGGGGAGAAGACCTTTCTCTGGAGAGAGGGACCTGCCTGACCTCGGGCTGGCTCTGAAACACAGCCCTGAAATGTGCAATTTTGGGGGTTTAACCTCACAGGAGTTGTTTCACAATGGGTAGTGTGGAAGTTGCTGAGCTATTTGCACGGTGATCCCCGAGTTCTCAGAACCTGAGCACCAAGTCCCCATCCCAGTGTAGGGACCAGGGTGCAGGAAAGATGTTTTTCCATGCAGGATTTCCCTGCTCATGGTTGGAGCTTCTCATCCTCAGGTACTGGGAAGTCCTTTTCCAATAGTCAGAGCTTGTGGCTCTCGGTGCTCCTGACTGGGAATCAAACCCCATTGTTCTTAAAATCTTATTTTTCAGGAAGGCCTCTGCACCTACCTGCCCCTTAAAGAGTGAAATTAGGCAAGGAGGTCTTTGTCCTGATAAATCCCATATTTGGAGAGTGCTAAGTCCACAATATTTCATGGAAGCATCTTCTGGAGCTGGTTACAAATGCCAAGAGCCTTTAATGCAACACAAATATTGTGTTTGGGGATTGTTTTATAATATTTATAATAATATAACATCTTCTTCCTGATGTGTTATGCCATGGTGTGGCCAGGTCTGTCACAGACAGGCCCAAGGGCTGTTCCAACCATGTCACTGTACAGAGTTATGCAGCCCAAGGACTGGCAGTGCTGGATGATCCCATAATCCTGGAGTTTGCTTCCCCCCTGCCCAGGTGAATCCATCCTAATTCTCCCTAAATCCTCCCGGTGCAGAACCCACACTGGTTTGGATCAGCCCCCCAAACGCTCCTGACCTTCAAACCGTCTCCTTCCTGCCCTGACCAGATGGAATTTCAACTTCCAAGTGTGATTTTGGTGGATTTAGATTCTAATCTAGCCGGGCTTGCTGAAAAGCCGCCTCCTCTCCCCGTTGATGAGAGCCCATAAAGGGAGCTTTGTTTCCAGGGCACATCCAACCTGTCCCTTCAGCACCATTTACTGCCTGGATGCTTTCCCTGGGCTGGGTTTTGTCTGTCCAACCTGTCCCTTCAGCACCATTTACTGCCTGGATGCTTTCCCTGGGCTGGGTTTTGTCTGTCCAACGTGTCCCTTCAGCATCATTTACTGCCTGGATGCTTTCCCTGGGCTGGGTTTTGTCTCTCAAGTCCTGAGGAGGTGCTTTTAAGAACCACCAGTGCTGCACTTGTCTTTTCCCCAAGAAATCTCTGCTTGCTCAGTTAATCTGCAGGTGGTATCTGTCTGTTAGGATTTGATTCCTAACCAAGTTCCAACAAGCACGTTTCAAATCCAACATCTCCCTTAGGCTTGGCTGCAACCCTACACTCCCTCTCCTCCTCTCCTGTTTGGGTTGGAGGCTCTTTTTGGGATACCCTGTCTGGGTTGGAGGCTCTTTTTGGGGTGCCCTGTGTGACTCTCTGGTGTCCCCTTTACCCCCCCAGGCTGGGCCCACGTGGTGTGTGCCCTGTACATCCCAGAGGTGCAGTTTGCCAACGTGCTCACCATGGAGCCCATCGTCCTGCAGTACGTCCCCCACGACCGCTTCAACAAGGTGAGACCCTCCCTCCCCACCCTGGCTTTTTTGGGGGGCTCAGCTCGTCCCACCACGGCTCCTGGATGGGTTATTTTAGTTCCCAGGAGCTCAGATTCCTTTTGGAAACACCTCACAAAGTAAATCTCTGTGTTTGCAAGTGACCTGTTGGTCCTCTGTGTCTCTCTTCCCCGAATCCCTGCGACCTGAGGAGTCTCTTGGTTGAGCTGTGGGGTTGTGTGTTGGTTCCTCCACATTTTGATTGGACACAGTTGGGTTTTTTTAGGGGGAAAAGGAAGAGATTTTGTGTGTTTTACTGAGAAATAACTCAGAGCTCTCACAGCAGGGAGACAACCTGCCCTAGTGGGAGGTGTCCCTGCCCATGGCAGAGGACAGAGGTGACCCTGAAAGTCCCTCCTGACCCAAACCACGATACCAGGAGGTGTCTGGATGCAGAGTTATGAAATCCTGGAGGCTTTATCTCCTGTTAAACAGCACTTTTCCTGGTTTTTTTCTCTTTTTTTTCCCCAGACCTGCTACATCTGTGAGGAGCAGGGCAGGGAGAGCAAAGCTGCCTCTGGAGCCTGCATGGCCTGCAACCGGCACGGCTGCCGGCAGGCATTCCATGTCACCTGGTGAGTCCCCAAACATTCCATGTCACCTG